AGTTATGGAACCCTTATCATTGTTTAGTTGGTTAAAACATTTTACCTCCAAATGCATATATATGTTTAAGAATTATCGGAGCATAAATACTATCTCAACATTATTTTTCAAGTATGAGTTTTCTTTTGAAGGTTGATCCTACCTTTATAGTTGGTAACAATAGAGAAGGTCAAAGTCGCGCTCAAATGTGTTAGTCAAATTCTTACAATTTCATCTCTAACAACATTACTGAACTTGAGCTTCATCAAAAGAAAATTTTCCATGATCTTCAACATAACGCTCTGTTTAAAGACCTTCCATTTGAAGCAATTAATGTCCAAGATAAGTCAGGTGAGGCTTCATTTTATGAGAATAAATAGTTTAAGCATAGAGCCAAATTTGCTTTGTTATTTGCAGGTGAAGATGACCTAAAACTTCTCAATCAAAAGATCAAAATTAGAGATAATAAAAATTAAATTAGAGAGTTTTATTCTAATAGTGTTAACCTTATCACTCAACATAATTGATGCGTCATCAACAAATTTCACAATTTGACATGAATCTGAAGGCATTTTTTGAGCAAAGGATGTTCTGATTCAAACTAAAAATCATTCAAAGTTTCAATATCAAAGAACATACAATCAAACTGATCATCTTGGTAAGATAAACCAAATGATATAAAAAATGGTCCAATTTGAGTCTAGATCAAGCGATTGAACCACATTGATAAGCTTTGGGTAATTAATTAAAGAGTCAAATGAACTCCAAATTTGATAATCTTATAGTCAAAGCGAGCATCTCAATGAGAGAAATCCAACGAGCTTAAGATCACTCAAATCCAAAGTTATTAAGGATCTCAAATAATCAAAATACTCCATATGATCAAGAGGAATTAACATGGGTTATTCGATCGGTTGGTTATAAGAGTTACAGGTCGAATGACCAAAATTCCTTGTTCCAGAAGAGCCTCTTCAAAGTCTGGAGACTAGATCACATCGGCTGTCATCGGTGGGTAGCCCACAAAGGATTCATAATACCTTTCCTTTCAGAGCTCGATTGGTGCAAACCTCTTACATGTGCTTGTGTTCACTTTTGACTAGGGATGTCAATTCGTATTAGTAGGTCGGGTTTGAGTTTGGCCCGAAAATGGCCTGAACCTGAATAGTAAATGGGTCAAAAACTAAGACTCGAACCAGAACTTAACCCGCTAGCCCAAACTCGACACAAACTTGCATACTTTATTCGAGTCATGATTGGGTTTTCGGGTTCAACCCGAACCCGAGCCGAATAATAAACTAGTCGAATTCTTTAACCCGAACTTGACTAATAAAATATCTGAGTCAACAATAACGTGGATTTTTTGAGTTGAATTCGAGTCGTGTTGGCGTGTCAGATCAATTTTTAACACCCCTACTTTTGACTTCATGTCTTGCATTGGAATCCACTTGCATTTCTTATGAGATGGGACCAAAGGCAAGTTACTCGAATTGGTCACTAGTTCTTTCCCTTCATGTTGATGCTCCCTCTTATGACTGATTGACTTGAGTTGATCCCTTTGGAGAGATCAAGTCGAGACGTTAGAAGCAAGGCGAATTGCCTCATCCCTTGCTGAAAAATCGATGTATGATGAAGTGATCGACTAATAGATGGGAGATCCTATTACGAACTTTTCCACAAAAGCCTCCCCTCATGATGTTTCAACTCGCCTAGCTAGCTGTCCTCCTGGCTTTTTGCTGCTAAGCGATCAAAGGACCTCTAATTGACAAAGAAGTTTTAATCGGCCCAGAAGATGGTATCATCTTGACAAGGATTACCTTTCCTGTAGAAATTCTTAGAATAATAATAGTTAAATCAGAAACAGAAGAAACAAGTTCCACACCTTCCAAGCTCTAGCCAACTCGAACTAACTTGGGCGAACGACCGTGCTAGCCTTCTTCTTGGCCGCACGAGCAACAACTGTTGCCTCCCTCTCAGCCTCACATGCATCAAAGGCCTCCCAATCCTCTTTATTCATTTCACTAAAGGTGTTTTGCTGAAGCTCCCTTTTGATAATTGTCGACTCATGGTATTCATGGACTAGTAACTGCGCCCCTTGAATTTTATTGGCTTCTTGAAATACTATGGCTGGCACTTTCTTTCTTTTTTGTTTTTTTTTTTGTTTTTTTTGTCAGGGCATCACCAAATGAGGCCATCCAAATGAACCACCACTACAGGGAAGAACCCAAGCAGAAGCAGGGTTTCAGTCCTTTATTTTATTCTCTATCCCCAACCGCTGGAACTTGTTGACCGACCAAAACTACAAAAATCCATCTGAACTAACCCAAAATGAAAACAAATGGCTAAAGAGGCTATGAACCATGGGATACAGTCTTTTGAGATAAAATTAATAGACTATTTGGCCATTGGGTTTTTGCAAACCAAAACATTGCAAAGTAGTCTTTTGAGACGAAGCTTCCCTATGAGACGTGTCCCTTATGCAGCCAAACAACACCCCCCCCCCCCCACCCAACTCAGTATTTTATCATATAGGCCACATAAGCATAAAGAAAGTAGATTTTGTACTACTTTTGCAGCTTCAAAACAAATCTATATTTTTATATGGAAGCTTGAATCTTCCTCAACAGATATTATAACTCAATAAAATTAGCAGCTCAAATTGCTAACAAAGATATGATTTCATATAGCTTAAGTTTGTCTATCTATTACTCACTGAGAAAATGTTCCTAGACTGAGTTCAATTTCTGCTAATTAATAGACAATACCTTCATTATTATGCAAGAAAAATTTTGAGGTATGATTGATGCATCTGATATGAATCAAATTAATAGAATTCAAACTCCCTATTAATTATTCTATTGGGTATCAAAAGGAAGATTAAGTAAACTAATGAGAGACTAATGACACCTTCAGGGATGTCACATGCAACAACAGCAAGCTCAAAGAGCAACCACAAAATAAAGTTTGAAGTCATTGCATATTCAGGTCAACTTTGTTCAGCCCAGTGTTTCCCTGTAAGGAATAGACGTCTCACAATTAAAGGTACAAATCTAATATGCCATAACATGAGGCTTAAAGCAATATGTTATAGTTCCCGAACGACAAACACTAGTTAGACCCTTCCTGGGACATACCGGTGATCCACTGCGAAGCTAAAAATAATAGACAAATAGTATGTCTGGGTTTTTCCACTGCAAAGCACAAACACTTCTTATTCACTCTTTGTTGCATAGTCTATATTTTTATTGGAAAGAAAGAAATGGATGGAGATAACAATTCTGAGTGCACCAGTTGATTTAATACAGATTAGTAGTAAAAAAGAAATAGAAATGAGAACCCTCTTCCTCCTCATCATCATCACTAATCTCCTTCTTAGTAGTTTTATCACTCCAAAGGTAGATGGAATAGCGTATGAATTCAGAATGCTTATTCACCAAATCCTTCAGTCTTCTCTCTTCCAGGTATTCAATCTATCAAAAGTTAAGAAAACAATCTTTTTAATTACTAATCAAATGACATTTATTAGAGCTTTTATAGCAATGTTGATTGAGATGTTTAAGCGCAAGACCATTGCCAATAGTAGACAACACTAACTTGATCCTCCTTAAGATACAGAATAATCTTAGTTCCTCTACCAAGCTGCTCGCCGCTAGCATCCCTTGTCATGGTGAACGAACCACCAGTTTGAGATTCCAGATGTACCGTTCGTCTTTATTATGCTAGGTAGTGACAACAACCTTCTCTGAAACAAACCAATCATGCTAACATCTGCACCCGCTTGCATGGCTTCCGTGACTTCCATATTGCATAACTTGCACCCATTTATGCATTTAACTTAGAAAAAAGCATAAAAACATAATAACTTTGTTGTATGCACTAAATCTTCAAAAGAAAATAACTAAACAAAACGGATAAACCTGGCTTAGCATGTCAAGGCTCCAAGGAAGTTACAGTTGTGGGTTAGAAAATTAGAAGTCTTCAGGGCATGGCAGGAAATCCAATAATCTTATATGTGTATATTGTATGGCAGAATAATGATTGTGTACTTCTTACAAATTTAACACAATTCTTCAATGTTAACAAACCAATACAGATGAGGGATGCTTACATGGCCTCAAATTAATGCTCTAAAAAATAAAACCATAATCCCCAATCACAGGCAATCACTCAATTAGGTAAATAAATAAAGCTCCCAAATCATAGATTATTCCACTCATTCTCGTTTCTCTCCATTCCACCAGCAAAACCTTCAAAATAATATGTTTTCTTTCAAGGAATATTTACATACATACCACTCAAATCCCTACGTATTTACATATCTAACTGCTAAACTTCAATTTTTGCCTACATACCAACTTGATATTTCATTTTTTAAGAGTTAAAATGATGGTAATATTGATGTGTGATAAAAGAGATTTGGATGGTTTAAATGTAGAAAACAAAAGTTCAGGTTTTAGATATGTAAATACATATGAATTGGGTTGGTGGTATGTATGTAAATGTCCCCTTTTTAAAAGTGTGCATGAACATAAAACTACATGAAAATAAAATAATTCCAACTCTGATATATATGTAAATGCCAACTTGAAGGAGGAAGAAATGTGCAAAATGAAAAAGTTCATCGAAGAGGAACAACAGAGATATGAGTACGCTGGAATCCAGGACAATGTGTCTTTACAGATGGAGCTTAATAAATTCAAACAAAGAATTGCAGGGAACGAGGAAGAGCTTGCCAAGCTCAAACAATCCTTGGATATCTAAATGCATTTAACATCTCATATCAATCATTTACAGTAATGAAAATACAAATTGAAATAATAAGAGGAACAACAACAAGCATGAGACCTTAAGATAGATAATGCATAAATTGATAACAATTTTTTTTTTATGTTTGATATGAGATAGCTAGTCATCTTGATCGATGTCTTTAGATTTGTGCCTGAAAGTACAGCAAAATTTTTTAAACAAATGCAATCTTTAAAATCGAGCATACTCAAAATAAGAAATAGAAGAAAACTTACACGTGCTTCCCATAAATTAGTTACAATCACATCTCGTACAACATCTCCTCTAAGTCTCTCACAAATTGTGGCATGCATGTTTGGGTCTTCATTGTTAACAGAACCTCACATATCAGACTATTCTGCATCTCAGTTTGAGATATATTAAAATATAAATCATTTCGACGACAATGTCCAACAAAAATATGTAAAACTGCACAAGTCATTACTATGTCCGCTTGTACTTTAATTGAGAACTTTCCCATGTGACTGAGAGCGAGAAATCTTCCCTTCCAAATCTCAAATGTTCTTTCTACAACACTACGAAGCTTGTGTGTGACAATGATTATATAACTCGTGTTGTTGAGTACGTACGAGTTGTGTTTGCACGGTAATCAATTAGATGATAATAATCTCCTTTGAAGAATGGTAAGAACTTGTCAGTCTTTGGATAGCCTGAGTCAACCAAATAAAATTTATTTTCGGACACCTTGAAGTCACATTCTTCTACTGACCAGCGCAATACTCTCATATCAGCAACAAATTTTTCACAACCAACAGTAATATATAAAAATTTTCGATCAAAAGAAATTGTAGTCATCACCTTTTATAAATCTCTTTCAATTATTGTATATGTTCAGTGGCTTTCTGTTGACAATGCGGGAACATGACTTTCATAAATTGGTCCGATTGCATTTTTAAAATATAAAAAAGATTGCGTATTTCTGCAAATAAAAGTGTCACAATTCACTTCAATTGATAGTAATTTAATGAACACATTTGATAACTATTTAATCTCTTGCAGCACAACATTACAATACCTACTAACTGTTTCTAAAGAGTACTGAAAAAATTCAAAAAGTTATTGGTAGAAAAATAATAATTGTTCTGTAATATCCATATTTTTGGTTTCACGTTGCAATTTTCAATTAATTAATAAGTTCCTCAATTCTATAAAAGCCTCAGGTGAGAGCCCAAAACAATACTATGACCTAGTTGGATAATCAGCTAGCACATCTGCAACATACTGACGCCTTGAGTAGGAATTGTCAAACTTAAGCCTCTAAATGTACTCATTATCATTCGAAGAACTATGTTCCTCCATAATAAATAGTATCAATTCTATTATAGCATTATTGAGCTGTAATTGTGTGTCAACTATTTGAGAAATTTCCTTTAAAAATTGTACTAAAAAAATTCAACATTGCTACATTTTTAATCAAATTACATTTCAAATAAATATTTTGACATAATAAATATCCAAAAATAATTTATCATTTGCGTCATAAAAGTTATAATATTTTTTAAGAGAAATATAAAATATATAAATAAATAAGAAAAAGAGAATGACTGAAAGATAAAATCAATATTGTAATAGTACGAACAAAAACAAAATAATGAGAAATATATCACAGTCAAGCTGGACATATGTACAAGCGAGGATGAAACCTAAGTACAAATTTAATCCAATTGTACAACAACAACCATTCCATTTCATGAGAAAAATTTTATTGGCATTGATAACCTTTAATGCTTCATGAATGAAAATTATAGCTTCATTAGAAATATTTGAAATATTATCAAACTTCGTCATACATTCATCTATTGTGTATTGGGAATGATTTTCTATAGTTTGTTGGAACATCTGCATATTTTTATTAACAACTTCTAACAATGTCCTTATGTTATTATTATATATTTTTCTTTTAATCTTTTGTGTTGGGACGGACTCTTGTAGTTGATTGTTTGCTACCACTTTGTTGGCTGTCTGAAGGCTGTATGATCACATCTTCGATCATTTGAGCATCCAATACTTGAGCAAACACAATTATCTCATCGAGGAAAGCTACTCCATTAACGAACATAAAATCATCAATAGGTGTGGTTATTTTCTCTTTTTGAGTCTGATCTAAGTAGAACTCTTAGTTGAAATAAATGGCTCCATTACAAGTTGCTATATTATCCACACAAATTCTCTTAAAAATCTCATATTGGTAAAAAGAATTTCTTCAAATCGTGTTAATTTTGTGTTTTCCTACAAAGTTATGTTAGTAATTCAAATATCATATAAGTTCAACTAATTTGTAGAAAAAATTATATGATTAGCACATGTATGATACAATCTTAAATTTCATCGGTTGCTATCGAAATATACAGATTTTCATCCCAACCCTAACCACAACTATTCAAGAGCCGATACAACTCCTAAAATCAGCTTTCATATTTTTGAAATGTGTCATCACCATCTTTGTATAAGTGGTGCCTAAATGTCTGTTTAGTGTCTTGACCACTAAAATCCAATTTTCCCACTTCAATGTACCTTCTGATAAATTTTCATATTCAAATTGTTCGAAAAGCAACTCTGAATATTATTATGTTCTTCCAGTTACTTTGGAGTTCTATTTGCACTCTTAATCTTCTCAGTTTTGATTGAAATACCTTTTTCAAGTGAAGGGTTTGAAATTGAACTGCTGTGTTGAACTAAATTTACTTTTGAAACTCTCATCATCACTAAAACATAATAAAAAATAACAAAATTAACTTCATATCACAATCAAAATTATGATCAAATTGAACTGATGGCTTTGTGAAGAAAAAATATCAATTTTAAATTTATTTTCTCTTATTTGAGAAACGTATTTGACATTTGTATGTATATGGTATTAGATGATTCGTGATCACATAAATTTTCATTTGTCATATATTTGATATCTGTTATTTTAGGAGCAATCTTAATATTATGTTTAACGGTTGTCTAATTGTCATTGCTTGTAACTTTTTTAGAGTTAATCATATTCAGTTAGTCCTATTTTTAAAATCATATCAATTGAATGCTAAATACATAAAAACATGTAATTCTATAAAAAGCTTATATGGATTAATAAGAACTAACCTAGAAATTCTACTAACCATAAAAAAAATAAAAAAATAATATAAGAAATTTCATCTTTTATTTTAAGCTTAGCAATGAAGCTTTAGGCTGTTTGTGGCAGCGACAATTTATTAAAAAGCAGTTGCGCAGCAGCTGCTGTGTAGAAGCTGATTGTTTATTTATTTTTTGCAGTTTTAAAACAGTTGCGTTGCAGCTATTTCTGAACAAATGACATTTTTGTCCCTATAGTATAACGTTATTTATAACAGAACTGATCCAGCTAGCACATTTCATACTTAAAAGTATATATCCATTTTGAATGTGCACAAAATAAAAACAGACACTTCACAAAATAGTTAGTAACACAACAAATAAAATTTTAAAAAAGATTATTAAAATAATAATTAATAATATTATAATATTATTTTTAAAATGCAATTGGTTAATGTCACAAGATAATTTATTTTCTAACGAAACTCTCCACACCGGATCACTATCGACGATGGAATCCTCGAATCGATCCACCCACCTAAGGAAGTCACAGTTCTCTGGTCTTTTCCTTGGACACCTGCATAATTGTCTTCCATAGTTATGTTGTTGTCGCGAAATAACCAGGGAACATTGTAGTCCACAATAATAGTAAAATGCACTGGAGGTATCGGAAGTCCTCGAGCTCATCTTTTATGAAGTTTTAAAACCACAAAACACAAACCCTTAGATGCAACATTAGTAATAATAAATAATAGAAATACTCAATTCAAATTTTATGAAAATGTGAGACCTCAGGAAACAGAGTATAAACCAACAAATCTGTCACTACACTAAGATCGTTGACCTTAAAAAAGTGTTATTTATTGTCTCTAAATTACGTAATACCGAGCTTGTATGTGTTACATATGAATATTCCCAAAAAGACCATTCAGAAGAACCTCAGAAGGAATGAAAAAGAAGAGGAACATGGTTGTCTTCATTGAATTTCACACTTATCAAGAGCCAATAGCAACATATAGATCATCCAGAAGAACTCATAAGGTCAAATATCTCAACATAGACCTCCAAAATTAAAAAAAAAAAACATGCAATAAAAACTTACATTATATATTATATCCAAGGTTGCCTCGTCGGCAATCACAGTGAGAAAAAAACATGCAAAAGAATTAGAAATAACATTGAACTTTAAAATGTACATCATCACATAAACAATTAATACAATAAACAATAAACATTTTCCTAAAACATTGCAAATAAAGTAAAAAAACAAAAAAATATACAATCACTCCATTCAATCGCCAAAGATGATATATGTAACTTGCTCTCTCAACTCTATCATATCTCCTGTATTTTTCTCATCCTTGGTGCAAATCTCAGGCAATTAACTTGCAACCTGTTGGTAAAGATTTTTTTTATTGTTGGTGACTACCATAGATCTTGAAGGCTTTTCTTATCTAAATGATCGAATACAACATTAGAAGAATAGCCTATCATTTTTAAAGATAAACATATTACCTCAGAATGAGTCTCTAATCATTTGGATAAAGAAAATCTTTGGATCTGCGAAACCGTGATTCTTCCCTTACCTTACGGTTGTAAGATAAAGTTTATTTTAACTCTAGGATCTTAGTACTCTACAAAGACAAACTCTTATAATTAATTACATCTTCAAAGCCATAAACCATAAGAAAAAATCTCAATAAATGTGGTATTTCTATTTGCCTGAAATTGAACTTTCATAATTGAGGTGATTGGATGTAGGGGGTTCAAATTGGAAGAATTAAGTTCTAAAAGATGAGACTTACAGTTTGACAATGTGTCATGGGAAAGGCCCAAGATGTAGAGTGAAATTTGAAGGGGATTTGAAAGGGGTCTGATGAACTGATTAGGTAAAGTCAAAGGATAAATCAGGAATACTAGATTTGACTGACAGGAATGGTTGGAGACCCTAAGCTAAGAATAGAGTCGGGCAGGACATGATTTCTAAACGAGAAACAAAACCCTAAACTTTATAAGAAATTTTATAAGCAGACTAACCTAGATTTTGGAAATAACGTCCCCGAACAAGATGCTCATGACCTTTCGTCGTCCCAGAAATGTTGGTATCTGTCAACTATGACCAGCCTCATAACCGAAAATCCTCCTTGTTTGTCAGAGCATTGAGGATTCGTAGTTTCAAAGTAGTCTAAAATACCTTCTTCAGTAACCATTGGTTACTTCATTCTAAGGTAATCCCTCTAGTCTCAGGGGATAGATTGTTGTTTTGTATGTCCTAGTCCTTAGTACGAACTAGGTACCTAGATTAATCTAGGCTTTTATACTCATAATAACATGAGATAAGTGTATGACCCAATCTGTCAAAGTTAGCTACGTAAGGTCCATGTCAGATCTACCTAGGTTCTATTCTCGTTATTTATCTCAATGTGTTTTAGATGTTTATTTGAGGTACAATATTTAATTCATGACTTGTTTCAATCCCTAGGTTTGTCGGTCATGTTGAGGAATCAAGATTTTCTAAGTTTTGAGTTTGTTTTGTTTGAAGTTTGATTTTTGGTGTTTGTGAAAAAAATTGAGAAGTTCTCGACATTGTTTTTGTTGTATATATTATAATTTTTTTTTGTTTTTTTGTTTGATATTTAAGCATAAAATAACATACAAAACGAAAATTGAAATAACATACATAGAATGACATATATACTTCAGCCTTGTGTTAGACTTGGACTACGTTGAGCTGATGTAAGCTGAATTTCCAGTTTATGTAACCTTAAGATTGAGCTAAATTGTGAAATAGATCGTTGATTTGGGTATAAGTTGAACCTAGACTAGCATGGGTTGGCTTGGATTAAGTTTGGGTTGACTTGG